GTCAAATTATGAGAAATTTATCTCTCATGAATACTCTAATCTCGGAGTAGATGGTCTGCCTTTGACCAGATCAAGAAAAAAATTAATCGAATTATCCAAAAATTGACCCGAACATCTACTGATCAAAAAAAAAAAAAACATGAGTACCAATTGCAGTGGCATTGAAACAGCCGGAATGACAGTGACTCGACTTAAGAAAATTCCAAAGAATGGGGCTCGGCAACGAGCCAAGGCCCGCCAATTTTTTTGGGTCCATAGGCCGCCATCACCATGTACCATGCCTAACTAGTTTTTAGCCAGTCAATGGGATGAGCTTGGGCTAGCCCCTCTTAAAAATTAAAATACTAAGGTCCAACACCTGCTTATGGGTTAGCCCAAAAGATCCATTAACGAGCCAACATCAAGGCTGGCTCTAATGGGCCTCAAAATGGGATTTTTTATTTTTGTTTTTAAAATTTGATTTTATTCCAAAAAATCACAAATAAATAAAAATAGAGTGCTAAAAGTGGAATTAGAAAAAAAAAATAAAAACTACATAGTAAAGTTATCAGACTTTCTTGCGATGTGGGACTGTATAACTGTTGTAATTTGCATAGAAATCGTGGTACAATTGTGGTATTGTTCTCAGAAATGCTGTAGGAAAGTTGTTAGATGGTAAGACTAAATGCATTCAAGCAGTTTCAAGCCTCTACAGTGAAATTGCTACTGTTTACAAAGTATGTCTAATGGCGGAGAGTTTGCAATTAACTAGCGCAATTGTGAAAAGCGATAGTTAGGCAGTAATCCTAGTCTACAGTGGAGAAGATGCACCCCCATGGGAAATAGCAGCATTTGTCGAAAATATTAAGGCTATCACAAACTCTCTCACTCTCACTCTCACTCTCTCTTCGAAGCTGCAACAAAGTCGCTCACTTGATAGCTAAGACTAGTTTTTGTAGTTCTTTATCTTTAAATTGGGTTTCAAACCCACCACGTGAATTGATGACATTACTACTGGTGGATTGTAACCCTTCTTTTAATCTTAATGAATGAAGTTCATTTTCTTGTTCAAACCGGTGAGAATCAATTGGGATTCTTTAAGGGACCATTTGAATGGTTTTTTTTAAGGGACCATTTGAATGGTTTTTTTTAGTGGACTAGATTTTATTCTAAAAGTCTTTCCAAACCAAATCGTAAAGATTTGTACATGGAATCCAAATAATAAATTATATTCAATTTCATGTTTGATAACTGACATAAATACATGTGGAGTCCATGGATTCATGTTAAATCATTTTTTTCAATTGACTAAAAGTTTTTATTATTAGGTGCAAAGAAAAATAAATTTTTAAGTAAAATAATCTTTTTACTTACAAATGTCATCTCTTACTTTTGAAACCCCCCAAAAGGGTTTCATCAAAACCCCATACATGGGTAAAATCTACTATTTATATTGGATCAGAATTAGTCCAATTGTTTAATTTCCTTAAAAATGAACCAAATATGGTTTATATGGGGCCCTGAGACTATTTTTTCTTAATTCCGTCCGCTAATCCACCTTAAACCCATGAACCAAATAGCCCCCAAGTCTTTATCTATTTCCTGTTTCATATAAGAAAGAGATTGAGCCATGTTGGCTAGATTATCGATACCGAGGAGAGAATAACATGCCTTCAAAAGTAATCATCTCTTTTGAGCAATAATACAGACCTCCAAGAGCAAAAGTCTCCCTTCAATAATTGACTACTTCTCCTTCAGCAAGACAAATCATTTTAAACTTTATAGTCTCATTATTCTATTGCAATTTTATCACTTATCGCATCCAGTTAGTAATTCAATCTCTAACGTACATCTCGATTTTTTACACCATTATGAAGTACGAAAACTATTGAGGTCGTATAATTTCTAATTACAAACCTTTTTTTGAAGATCTTTGTTAAGTAAGATGCAACAAAATTTTTGGTTTAGTAGTCCTAATTAATTCCTATCCCCTCCACAGTGTTTTAGCAATCAAATCACAACTTAGTTGATTGGTGGATTGGAATTGTTTGTTACTTGCCTGCTGGTTTAGATCCTTTTACTAATTTTGACTCTTTATTGTGCTCCGCTCACAAACCTCTCTTTGGTCAACACCCTTTCCTTTTTTCAAGTTTGTTGTGCTAATGCCGTTGAATTGTTTGCGGAAGGACCCATCACCCATGTTGTTCTCGCAAGAATGGTTGGCATTTTCCTTGCAATATTTTTGTTGACAATCGAAGGATCAAGGATGATATGAGGGGGAGACTTCAGTTTTGGACTTTTTTTTTTTTTAGAGGTCAGGAGTGATTAGACTAATTTATACATATCTTGACTATTTTTTTTTTCGATTTAATCAAAAATAAGTTATCCACGCTGAAATTAAGGTATTCATAAAAGATCAATACCTCATGACCTAATTTTAAGAAATTGTCAAAATTTAAATTTAAAACATCTGAATTTACAAATTATCCCTTTATAACTTGAGTTACCTTTAAAATTTTTAATTTTATAGCAACATGAAGAGACTCTCCCACTAGTTTTTTTTTGGATTTTCTTTTAATTTTAAATTCAACTTATAATACTAAAAATATTTGAAATTCCTAAAAAATATTTGACAAATATTAAAAATAAAAAATATTCAATTAATTAATAAATTATATTATTTTATAAAAGAAATTATTGAAAGAATCTAGATCTCCCGTGGACACGGTGAAGAATATAAGGTTGAGCATATTCCTTATTTTGTCTCCTTATATCCTAGTCCAAGGGTATTTTTATGATGCCAAAACACGTTTGTTCGAATCAGTGTATTAAAATTTGGCCCGGCCGGCGGGTACCCACTGCTCGGCTGCGCCTCTGCATTTTCGCCGACGGTCGACGACTCTCTCTCTGCTCTGTTTCGTCGTCTCTCTCGGCGCTGCGACCAAGCAAGGGACTCAATCGATTTGTATGTAACTTTTAAAAATTCGAAGAAGGCTGCTTCAGAGCTCCATCGAGGCATATACGACTACCATTGACAGCAGCCGGTACATACTCTTTCTCTCTCTCTCGATCTCCCTATTTTCTAGTCTCTGACTCTGCTATATTTGATTTTTGATTTTCATAAATTGAAGCTTTGATTTTTTTGGTACTAGTCTTGGAGCTGTATTGTATTGCTGCCTTAGATTATGCAATTAAGATTATATAGGGCTCTATTTCAAAAATTATGCAGTTAATTAAGAGCATATTGTTTGATCAATTGAGCAGATTAGGGCAATTTTTTTTTTTTAAAATTTATTTTGCTTATGGCTGCGGGTTGAGCTTGAGCAGATTGGGCAAATTGAGTATATTTATGGGGTCTTTCATGCATTAGTTTTTGATTATTTTCATTTGTTAATGTACGAGGTTTGTAAGCTTGAATCTATGTTTTTAATATTGTTGGGATGTTGTAATTCAAGAATCTATATTATTTTCAATTGTTTTGTAAGAAAATCAAGTAATGCTGAAAATTTCAATTGTCCTGGAGTTGAGAATCCCGAGTTTGGCACGGATTGGAGTTCATGGAATAGGAGTGCTCGTTGGAAAAATGAGAATGAACAGATACGTCTATTGCATCACCTCTATGACCGGCTTATAATTTTATGAATGTTGTTATTTCATATTTGCGAATTGTACTTGTAACTTACGAATTGTGTTATTGTATTTTTTCTTTGTGTTTTATGTTTGTTAAAGATTGTGAACTTGTGAGTTGTTTATTGCGGTAAGAACATTAATTTGAGGAATCTTCTTGTTCATTATATATAATTGTGTTGTAGATTAGTTATTTGATAATACTATAATAGGGGTAGTATTTATATTTTCAAGTGGATTACAAATAGGCGGTGGTTGGGTAATTTATTTTGACTTTTGTTGATTGAGTCCTTATGCTATGCTCATGTGCTTCATTTCGTTTTCATGTGTCTTGTTTACTACAGTTTGAGTTTGAACTTTAAAAAGTGCAAATTACGTGGATTATGCTTGGATTGATTAATAGTTGGAGACTTGGACTTGGAGTCTTGAACTTAAATAGAGGTATTGTTCTCTACTTAACTTTACAAGTTTTATTGGAAATTAAATGGATTAGAATTAGATACATGTTTGATAATTTTTCTCTATTTAACTTTGCATGTTTGATGTTATTTATAATTATTGTGATTTTAGTCCCGTTGTCAATTTGATATCTAGGCCGGGTTTTAAAACTATGGTTTTAATTTTCTTGCAGGACGGGTGAGGGAATATAAGATTTGACTCTACAAAAGAAAATTTGGGGTCGGCTATAGCGTTGTTCGGGCTGTCAATCACATTGTATTGGCAGCCTGATTTTCTTGAACACAAAAGTCTGATTCTAGAGAAGGTAAGACATTGCACTAAAATCAATCAACTAGGCCGAACACCGTTCAAGAGGAGATAGAAATGAACTGTAAATTCAAACGCCTTGAGTTCAGAACTTGGCAACCTCTTGGAGTCAACCTCCTGAGTGCCAACACAGTTTGGTTAGTAGGACGAGGCTCCATTGTCTGGACAAATCGTATCCAGGCTTTGGGTCTGGGCTCCATTTTCAGGATAAATCGACTTCCTGCCAACTATGCGAGTCCTGATTGATTGTTGCACGTGTTGAGAGGCCGGTGCGTGCGACACCCTATAAGGGAATTATCTCCCGAATGGATTAGGGTTAGCTTTGAGGGAGGTAATTCCTTGAGGGTTAACCTCTTTTTTTTTTTCTCAATCAACTGGGTCAAAACCAAAGCCTATTTGACTAAAATTTTGAAGTTTTTTGGGGCTCATTTTGCTCGTGTACGTTGTTGACATGAAGTTTGTAAAAACCCCATTTGTATTTGTTTCCTCATGAATCATAACCTTTGCTTATTTTTGTGCAGGTAGTTCTCATTAGTATGATTTGTGGGTGTTTCATTGTTTATCTCATTGAATTTGGTGGTTAAGTTTGAGATTTGTATGAGAGATTGTGAGCTTGTTCACCACATATCATGGGTTCCTTTTCTGGAATCTTTCAGAGACCTATTTTTGCGGCCTCTGCCTTTGCTATCACATCTGTTTCTTCTGATCTTCATGGCAAATTGCGGCCTTCTAAATCATCAGATACTTGTTCTTCCTTGGACCAATCCAATCTATCGGTTTCTGCTTTGGTACAAGAAACAACCACATCTTGGGTGTCTCACATATCTGTTTCCAAGCTTGCTAAGCTGTCATTTGTGACTAGAATTCGAGTACCTGTTCCTAATATTGGCAAGACCAATCCTAATACAGCCTGCAGTTTTGTTCCTAATTATTTGTGCTCTACTGCGGTTTCTTCTCCTGTTCTGCTGAACTTGTATCAGTCTGCAGAGTTGGCCAAAGCCCCGAAGCCAAATGCATATACCCATAGTGTTCCTAGCTCAACCTCATCATCTGATGTGTTGTACAGATGGCATTTGCCCGAGCCAGTTGCTCTTGATAAATCTCCAGGTTCTGATTGTGCATCAGAAAAATCTAGAACGGTGGTGGTTTTGCTTGGATGGTTAGGCGCAAAGCAGAAGCATCTCAAGCGGTATTCAGATTGGTATACCTCAAGAGGGTTTCATGTCATTTCATTTACGTTTCCTATGACCGAGATTCTCAGTTATCAAGTTGGTGGCAAAGCTGAACGGGATATAGAATTGCTTGTGAACCATCTTGCTGATTGGCTGGAAGAGGAGTATGGAAAGAATCTGATCTTTCACACTTTTAGCAATACGGGATGGTTAACGTAAGTGTGTTTTTTCATGTTCTTTGTGCAATTCTTTTGCTTGATGTGTTTGTATATTGTCTTGCAGATATGGAGTTATATTGGAAAAGTTCCAGAAGCAGGATCCTACATTAGTGGGTAGGATTAGGGGCTGTATTGTAGATTCTGCTCCTGTAGCAGCCCCTGATGCACAGGTAAGAATGCAATTGTATTAGGTGCAAAACTGAACATTGGATTGCTTATGGATTTTTTAACTACCATAAAAAATTATTAATTATGGGATAAAACCCTAATTGAAAGTATAAAAGACCATTCACCGATGCACAAATTGTTTGAATATCCGTAAACGCATTGATGAATATGACATTGTATTTCATTATAGAGGCGTGAACTATAGGACTGTATTTACATTTATGTTATGTCATCAGGTTAGCATACCAGCAGTTGGGTTAATTTATTTGTGGAATATTAGTTTGGCATTTATATTCTAGATTTCTGTCGTTGAGTTATATTAGGAATTTTCAATTACGGGGTTTTCAGGGCTCTTGATGTTAAGGATTGATGTGTTGACCTTTTGATTATTGATTAGTTGATTTATTGAAAGTCTATTTCTCTCCTTAGTCTCTTTTGTTTTCTCTGATACACTATAATTCTCAGCTCCACCACCATTGTCAGGCTGATTTTTGCTTTTAGTGAGCATCATGGGAGCAAAAGTTTGAATTTTATTAGAGACTTCATCGTGAAGACTATAATTTGTTGGGTCATGAGATTCCATCCAACCCCAGTTTTTATTGTTAGAAGACCTTATCCATTATTCCGATTCAAGATATGTAATGCAACTTGACCCAATTTGACAAAAACCAATTGACAAACCAACTTATACTTAACTAGTAGCCAAGATGAAGACCCAACTCTACCTAGATCTTTTTACTCGAACCAAATTAAAGAATAGGTTGAAAGTACACAATAGTCCAAGCTATTTTTATATATTCTAGAACAACCCCAAAATTTCTTCAGTATGTAAAAAGCTCCAAATTTTTTAAAACTTTTCAGAGGGACCCTAGAATTTTCAAAAAATGTAGAAAATATCGGAGAACTCCAAAAAAAAAAAATATATTTTATTGAACTATCTTTCGCTATACCTTTGCGTGTGGGAACTCATAGCTATCGTCACAAGATGTATAAGTACTCTTTCAGAGATTAGTTGCTATTATTAATATTCATTGGTAAGTTTCACAAAATCCTATTTTTCCTAGATCATTTGTTAGTTTTTTGCATCCACATTCTGAACTATACCTCGTTCATATCATACATCCTTTGACACGAGTTACCATAATCTTTTAGTGGAATACTTGTCCCTTTTCCACATTATTTTTTTTAATTGTTTGTTTTCCTCATTTCAATTTTTTGCATAAGTTTGGCATTTAACCGTTTTGAGTCCAAAGTTGTCCTTTAAAAATCCACCATTATTATCTGTGAATTTTTTGTTTCCATCACGACCTAGAAAAAAGAAATTGAGACCCATGAAAGTGATTTGACCAATAGCAAAAGTTGATTGACTGATTACACAACGAATTTGGGGTTGATATTGGAAAGGTGGAATGCCAACTTTCTCGGTTAAGAAATCAACATGCCCACTTATCTAAACTCATTCAAAACTGTTAACAAGAGGAGAATAGTGG